GAGTGTATAATAAAAGCGTGGTAGGTATAATAAGTTGTGTTTTTGTAATATATATATGTCCACAGTTTCTCATCGGTTTCATTTATGTCGAAAGGCACGCAGAATGCAAAACATATCAAATTCGAAGAAAAAACAGGGAAGGAGGGATCACATATTGAAAAAGGGAACGCATACTAAGTGACTCTTTCTGCAATCGTGACTGAATTTCAGGTCACCACCCGCCTATCATGGACTTCATGAAAAATACAATTCCCACTTACATCCTGCATAAGCTATACCGTTTTATTAACCACAATATACGGCTCCAAAAAGACCTAAACTAATGAGTACCTATATCGCCGATTATAATAAATCTGTTCTTTGTTCCGAGGACCATCGATAATGCATAATGCATCATATTTCAGACGCACCCTGTATCGAAAAATGATGGCACTTTTTGGTGTTTTTTTTTGTGGGCGTGACAGAACGAACAACAATGCAACTTTGAATGCACTAAAATAGCACAGATGGCGTTAGTTGTCGGAGGATAAGATGAGGGGCGTATCGAAAATACAAGGCGTGGCGTAAATGAGGTGGATCTGAATTGAAGGCCGCCTTTCACCAGAGGCGCGGAGAAGGAACAGTAATTTTTTAGTAATTGTTTTTCTTGAATCCAGAGACGAACCGAAAGAGAATTTGTGGGTGGGGCAGTAAGTGAATTTTGCCAACTCATTTCGAATTTTCCAATTTTCGTTTTGAACAAAATGAACAAAAAATTTATAATACGAAGGACGTCGCGGTTACGTCTCGTGTTGTTTTTTTTCATTTATTTACATGCAACTAGCTGCAGTCATTCTGAGATATATGCGCGTATCTACAGTACATATTTTTTTGTTATTTTTATTTTTTTTTGCTTACCTATAGCTATTATTATATACTCACACCTATTTTCATTCTCGCAGTATCTTTTGTATTATTTTTTTGTTTTACATATTGAAAATTTCAACCCAATCGGTGTAGCCGTTTAGAAGTTATGGAAAAAAGATAAGTACGGGGGGATAATATTCTTACTACCCTTGGTCCTATATATTACCCGTTTTTTCGTAGAAATGAAGCATTTACCTGCGGTAAAAATTAACCTATGTTCATCAGGGATAATGTCGGCTTATAATGGTGATAAAATTTTTCAAATCGGTTCAGCAGTTTCGGAGCCTATTCAATACAAACAAACAACCATAGAAATCTTTCCTCCTTATAGTATCAGTATACCTTACCTATAGATATGAGTTTTTACTGAGAATTGTTTTAAATTGTTGTTGTTGAATACTGGGATACAAGAAATTTCATTTTCTATGATAAACTAGGAGTCGTAAATTCAGAGAACGCGCAGTTGGAAATCCCGATGGGTGTGTACATTCAGAGTTTTTCATTTTCAGATTAAAAACTTGTACCTAACTGGGAATTTAGTTTTCCGAATTGAAACTTTTTCAACTCAAAATTCGAAATTTGATTATTTCAACTTCAAGCTTGAAATTCTCTACGAAGTGCCTGGTTTGAAGTGGTAAAGCAATTTACCTTCATGAATAAACTTGGAAAATTAGAAATGTTATGTTTATTTTGAAGTTGTGAATTGTTATTTTGATCATAGATTAAATTGAAGTCGGAAATCCCTAGTCAAGGATTGGGAGGTGCGGACCCCCCCCCCTCCAAAAGGCCCGTCCCTGCTTGATTCTATACCGTGTCTGTACTCTGTCACAGACTATGTCGTGGATAGATAGATTTTACGTCAGTTAATTTAGCCACAGATTAAAAAACTTCAATTTAGCCATTATACTACCCACCTATAAAAAGAAATTGATACAGATCTTATTTTGATTAATCCATATCATGTGATTTCAAATGCCAACCATGTATATTACCTATAGCTGAATACGTGTAAGTACATTTGAAATTTGAATTAAAAAAGTAGATACTTATACCCCCCATCATAATATTATATTCACGAATAAATGCAAATAATTTCTACCCTATCTCCCCTGCACGCCATTGCTTGATATGGCGAGTTACTTTGCTCTTACCACCCAAATTTGAAATTTCATTTATTTATATAACCACCATCCCCACCAAGCCCACCATATATACGCTCGGTATTTCCATCAGCAACACTCTTTCATGGGATAATCATGTCAGATCCATCGCAAAAGCTGCTTCACAAAAACTCGGATTCTTGTTCCGTGCGAAAAGCTACTTTACACCTCAACGGCTCCTCATGATCTACAAAGCGCAGATACGGCCTGTTCTAGAATACTGTTCCCACATATGGGGTTCAGCACAAAAACATACGCTGATGCTCTTAGATTCCATCCAGAGAAGAGCCATTCGCCTGGTGGGTGAAGCCACACTCACTCACTCTTTGACATCATTGGAACACCATAGAAAGGTCGGCGACCTTTCACTTTTCTATCGATACTTCCACGGGAAATGTTCTTCCGAAATCTCTGCTATCATTCCTTCACTAGCAATACCAGTCAGACGAACTAGACAAGCCCAGTCAGCACACCCGTTCGTTGTCAACCTCGAAAGATGTCGAACAGCACTATATCAAAACTTCTTCATCCATAGAACGGCTAGGCTCTGGAATTTATTGCCTGAGGAAGTATTCCCAACAACATATAATCTCCAGAAATTCAAAGAAAAATTCTAATACCTCCTGTCCCTATCCTCCTTAGGAACGCACGATGTTCTTTGAACATTAAAGGGATTTCGTTTCGTGCACTCCAAGCGATAAAAAAAATGCGATATGTTTATACTTCAATGACAGAATCTGGGAAATCCTGATGTAATCAAGAAATAGTATAATGATTTAGAGGGGTATAAACAGTATCTAAATAATAAAGTAATATTACGGATGGAATGTCGTATAGTAGAACAAAACCAGAGAACAAAAGTAGGTATTTGATTCATTCTATATTTTTTTTCAAAGATCATAATATACATACATTATTTAATTCCACATAAGATATTATATCTTATTGCTTTGGGTATGTGATGAGGAAAACCTTGAATAATTATATCAATGACACGCCATCTTTTGTTCGAAGAAAGTACTGACCCCAAACCCAATATTCAAAATATTATTATGATTTTGCTGTCTTGTTCATTCGTTCTGAATTCTTCCAATGATTGTTTGTTTCATCATCATTGTAAATTAATAATGTTACCTACATCAATTAATTTGATTTGCCTAGCCTAAGAACGATGATCCATGATTCACCCAATTAGTTTCTTTGTGAAAATTTTGATAACATTATTTGAAATACAGAATTTTTAATGTCGATATCAAATCACACCCAAAGATGGCGTTGTGAGTTAATTGGGGCATGGTTGCTAGAACTGATGATTATTTGCATAGCAGGTTGCCTTGATCAGAAAAATATGTCATATGTCACCTGAAATTTCGTATAGGTACCTATGAATATAATGATGTGCATTTATTTCATTATTTTGCCAATAGGAAAAAGGGCGACCGCCGAGGGAAAGAAAGTGCCATGAAGAGTTCTATTTTGTGTCGTTGAAAATATTTTATATTTGTTTTTCACAGTTTCCAGATTAGTTTCGTTGGAATTATCATTTTGTTTATTTGTTTATTTCCTGAATATATTGAAAGGTTTTAGTCACATTGTCTTCATCTTCCGAACATTCTTTTTTAATTGTTCTCTATGGATGTTCCAGAAGACGTTCCGGATGACGTCCAATGAACGTTCCAGAGGACGCCAAATGATCGTTTCAAAGGACGTCCTATAGACGTTCCAGATGACGTCCTATGGTCGTTTCATCTGACGTCCTATGAACGTTCTAACTGACGTAAATATGAGCGTTCCATCTGTCCTATAATTGTTCCAAAGAATTTCCTATGATTATTCCAAAGTACGTCCTATTATCGTTCCAAAGGAAGCCATATGATCGTTTCAGAGGACGTCCCATGGACGTTTCAGAAGACGTCCTATGGACGTTCCAGATGACGTCCTATGATCGTTTAATCTGACGTCCTATGAACGTTCTATCTTACGTGATTATAAGCGTTCCATTTGACGTCCTATAAACGTTCTAGGACATTTCAAAGGAGGAGGATGTCCTTTGAAAGAATAACCTCGGTACTAAAGAAGAAGTTTTATGCTTTTTCAAAGAATATCCATTGGATGATTTTCCAAAGAGGTCCAATGTAAATATTTGAGGAACATCCTTCATTGGTGTGAAGTCGGGACATTTGTACTTCCCACGAACGTACTATGGATGTCCGCGGTACCAAGCACGCATGTCCAATGGACGTCTAGAATGTCCCGGTGGGACGTCCTATGGATATCCATGTGACTTCAGTGTGCTATTAGGGAAATAATATTTCGATCCTCTCATCAACCTTGATTGAATCACTTGATTACAGAATTCGCACATTTTTGCTACAGATATAGAATCTGCTCACTAGGTGGCGACACATATTATGTAGGTATATCAACAGGGTCTTCTAATCTATAGCTGAAACTCCATTTAGTTCGATGAAAGAATAGATGAGAAGTAAACCTACGAGTTCAATGACAAACTTTCAGACTTACTAATGAATTTCATCTCATAGTCATCTCCCTCTATGAAGTAGACAAGGAATCAGTATTATTTATTTATCATGGAAATTGCAATATTTCGAATGAAACAGTGATTAGTTTCACAGAAAGATGCTTGTACCGGAAATTTATTTATTGCAATGTACCTAGTCATAATTTCAACAGCAACAAACACTGATAAGAATAAAATAAAATAATTCCATTTCCACATAATCTATAAGTATTTTTATATTTTTATTAAATGTACACACTAAAAACATAATAAAACGATCAAAAGAAACCGACAATGTCCGCACCTCACAACGATCAGTCTATACACATAACAGAGGTAGTCAAATATTGATATCTTTGGTAACAAAATCTAAGTAATAGAAAAAATAACAACAAAAAAACCGCCCTAAAGCTTCATCGTTTCATGATGTCCTCAATAGAAAATCCCAGCTTGACCTTGGTAGTGATCAAATCGAGATCCACCTTCTTGGTCAGATCCAGGCAAATCTCTGAAGACGGCGCTGTCGGCGTATCGAAACGTCGCTCAGAGTGCATTTGCGCGTGCGCCTTCAGATCCGAAGGGTCCGCGAAGTACTGCGAGCACGCGAGGCACTCTACAGGGCGATCCGAGTGGGTGGACATGTGCGTTTTGAGGTTGGAACGCTGGTTGAAGGACTTGTTGCAAATTACGCACTTGTGGGGGGATTCTTCCATGTGGAGGATCTTGTGGACGGCCAAGGTGCGTGATTGGCAGAAGCCTTTGCCGCATTGGTTGCACTTGAAGGGTTTCTCTTTGCTGTGGATGTACCTGGAAAGTAGTTGTTTTCGGTGATATATTGTACGCCTCAGATATTGATTAAATAAACCTCTGGTGTACGCACTTCAATCTTTTCCTATTTTACAATTCCTTGATTTTCACCTACTTCAATAAACATAACATGGCGTGGGGGAATCTCGCTAAGTTTAGTCTGGTGCCGTACCAAAATTACAGGCATCAATGTGAACATTACAGGATATCCCTTTTCGTGGGAACCAGAACATAAAAAAAATTATGACCGAATTGTGACCAATGAAGATAGAGAATACATTTTGCGATTTAGCCGCATCAAGGTTTGTAGAACAGATATTTATTGACTTCCTATATTTGACAGATATAATTCAATGTTCTGTGGTATTGCCAGGAAAGTGGTTGTTTTCTCTTGGATATTTTTTCGATAATTCTGATATTTCTCAAGAAATAATATATACAAATGAAATGATAATTCTTGATTACTTTATTTCAAAACTTCCATAATCCTATTCCTATACTGCTGATATCCAACAGGATATATACCCTTGTCGTTCTGAATGGAAATCTATATATTGTAGGCAAGGTAGGTATATAAATGTCAATTCATTGAAAAAAATATGCAGATTTCGCCCTTATCGACGATATTTTCAGTAAGCTAGTGACCTCTATTTCGAATAGAGCTATTTATTTGTTATCTTTACCCTAGAATTTTTTGCTATTCCTTTCAAGTTTGTAAATCGAACATCATAGGGATCCCCTTTCATGCGCCCCGAGAAATAAAAAAATTTTTAAGTAAACAAACCATCAGACTACTTCATACTCGCGCCATTTGCTTTACACTATGATAATTATTTTATACAAAAAAGAAGCATCTTGAGAGAAATGTTTATCTGGGGGTTCAAAAAACCCAAATTCTAATATGTTTTTTGAAATTATTTGGGGCCTAAAACCCTTGTGAACCATGTTATTAATTTTAGTTTTCTTTTCTCCTCCTACCTAGCAAGCCTGTTGATGACTCCAAGGAGTCGAAACATGTAGCACGTATCGTATTTCATTAAAATTTACATGGAGTGAAACTTTGAGTTTGTTCTCTTAATTATCTCATCACCTCCAATTTAAGCATGGACTACTACCAGAGACAAACCAGAAATGCTTGGTCAGCATATAGGTACTTTAATAATTTTGGTCATCAAATTATTTTTTTTTATCGCTCGGAGCGCACGAAAGGTAATCCCTATAATGTTCAAAGAACATCGTGCGTTCCTAGGGAGGATAGGGATAGGAGGTACGTATTGGATTTTTTTTTGAACTTCTGGAGATTATATGTTGTTGGGAATATATAATTATCCTCAGGCAATGAATTCCAGAGCCTATAGCCATTCTATGGATGAAGGAGTTTTGATATAGTGCTGTTCGACATCTTTCGAGGTTGACAACGAAAGGATGTGCTAACTGGGCTTGTCTAGTTCGTCTGACTGGTATTGCTAGTGAAGGGATGATAGCAGAGATTTCCGAAGCACATTTCCCGTGGAAGTATCGATAGAAAAGTGAAAGGTCGCCGACCTTTCTACGGTGTTCCAATGATGTCGAAGAGTGAGTGAGTGTGGCGTCACCCACCAGGCGGATGGCTCTTCTCTGGATGGAATCTAAGAGCATCAGCGTATGTTTTGGTGCTGAATCCCATATATGGGAACAGTATTCTAGAACAGGCCGTATCTGCGCTTTGTAGATCATGAGAAGCTGTTGAGGTGTAAAGTAGCTTTTCGCACGGAACAAGAATCCGAGTTTGTGTGAAGCAGCTTTTGCGATGGATCTGACATGATTATCCCATGAAAGAGTGTTGCTGATGGAAATACCGAGCATAGATAATATGGTGGGCTTGGGGGAGATGGTGGTGCCAGACATTACAATGTCGGGCATACTTAGTTCCGCCTTTCTAGAGAAAATACAGGCTTGAGTTTTGGTGGCGTTGAATTCAACTAGGTTGTTGGTTTTACCAGGCTGTGATTTCAGCAAGGTCTTCATTGACAGCATTATCAATTATTATAATTGTCATTGCAATTACCTATGGTCCCTGAGGTGGTCCTGTCTTCTGAAAGCCTTCCCGCAAATATCACAGGAATACGGCCTCTCGTCCGTGTGCGTCCGCTCGTGGATCAGCAAATTGTAACTCTTGGTGAACTGTCTGTTGCAGTACTTGCAGATGAACTGCTTCCTGGGCCTCGCATTTCCGCCCCCCTTGTGGGGGGGCGGTTTGCCCCCGTCTGCCCCCCGGTACGCGGCGGCCGTCCGCAGCCACTGGTTCATCAGGATGACGTTGTAGCCGGGATAGGGGGGATAAGGGGAGTCGAATTGGGAGTTGAGGGGAGCGTACCATTGGTCGCAAGCCCTGAGGTTCAGGTTGGGTATGAGGGGTGGTTGGGAGGGGTTGTGGTAGGGGTGGGGTCGGGGGGGTGTGAGCAAGGGGGAAGTGCTGTCCGCTTCTTGCTTGATTCTGTCGAAGCCGTACATCATTGGAGAGACTGTAATAAAACGGTGGAATTTGAATTCATGACGCAGTACAGGGTGGGCAAAATTGGGCGTTTTCATAGGCTATCTCTGTAACTGAATAAGTTATCGAAAAATCGATATACATGTTACGGGTTCGATATTTTGATATCTTCATTCGTTTCAGAGATATAGGGGGAAATTGAAAAATTGCCGATTTCGTTTTTATTTTCTGAGTAGGTACTTCATGAAGAGAGATATTGAAAAATTCCAAATTTTTATCCATATAGAATGATGCGTAGAATCCATTGTGGCATCATCAGAAATATACAGGGCGACATCAAGAAGATACGGCAGTCAATTATTTTTTCTCTAATGGAACACCCCGTATATTTTGGCACAGTTTGATAGTCCTAGGCATTCCATATTCAAATATATATATTAACCTACCATTTTCTTGGACAACTTTAGGAATATTCGCAAAAATATACTCAATGTGTCACATTTCTCATCATGGTTGCACCTCATACTCAATACCTACTCAAATTTACAATAGATATACAGGGTGATCCACGGTGGATGGCCTATTAGAAGTATCTGGAGAACGAAAAGACAGAACATTCTGAAAATTAGGTTGCTTTGATAACTGAACATTCTCAATCCGTCTGAAATATTTTCATCGATACAGTGATGCCACTTCTATCAGAAACAACTAGCAACTTTGTTATTTCAAATGAAATACCCTGTATCTTATTGCATTCTCAGATTCTTCCTGAAGAGCTGATTTCATCAATGTGTCACATTTGGGACCTAGCAGGAAAGATTACTGAGATCTAGAGTGTTCAAAATCGAGAGTTTTGAATTTTGGGATTTTTTTGTGTCGAAACTATTCATTATCGATCAAAACGGCTTACATGTCCCTATCTTAACTTTTGATTCACTATCTACTGGAATTTAACTGGAAAAAATACAGGGTGCTTCAAGATTCAGAATTCTGATCACCCTGTATCTGTTCTGATTTCTGTCAGTATGTCTCATACAACACCCGCACTTCAGTCATTGCTACAACTTTGGAAACACATTTTATCAAATAATCGTGATTATATATAGATACTATGCTACCTACAATTTCTCCTGATAAACTAATTATATTTCAACCTTGTCTAAGTCTATATTATGTATGTACCTACCTATTTTTTTAACAAACAGGTTTTAATTCCTCGAGTAAAGATAAATATATCTATGCCAACTGGAAAAATTAGGCAATGTTCAGTCATTTATACACATTTATATCGTGACAAAACAAAATTATGTCACAGTATTTTTAAATCTACAACAAAATATTGGATTCAACTAAATATAAGAAAAACTACTATGTTAGGTAATATACCTATTTTGACAATGCTCGTAGTAAAATGTATGTATACCTAGGTAGGTATATTATTTCCTGTTGCGAATAAATAGAGGTAGGATAATGATGTTCAAATTAATAGGTATTATTGCCAAAATAAACACCATAAAAGTAGGTTGAGTTTAATCCTTGTAAAATTCCATTTTAACATGTGAATACTCAATGTCCTAGAGCCATAGAATCTTTCATAAACGTATGCATATCAAATCCACCCTGTAGAGATACAGGGAGACTCGGTTTCGATTTGTGAACAACCGAATTTAGGTGTATGTATTTAGGTTAAGTTCCATGTTAATGGAGCGAATGCCGCCCCTCAACTGCGACCCCAAATGGGTCTATTGTGGCTCACCCCTAGAGGTTAAAATTCACTGTACAATTTTTTTACAAAGTCCATGGTTGAATGAGGTGAGATTTGTCTGAAATTGATTGGTTCTGGCCAAATATGTTGAACGTTAGTCTGTCTAAGCAAGAGCATGAACTATGTGTTCAGCGGTTTCGTCTTCCACACAGCAGAACCGACAATCTGATCCACTTGTTGGTTCAGACCCATCCTTCGTAGGTGCGGTGTCTTTGACGATAGTGTCCCCTAAGCAGTCCTGTCAGGTTACCCCTACTCCATTCTAGAATCTGCCTGGTGTTTTCTTCCGTTGGTTTAGGCAGGAACGCCTTCGAATAGTATGATCCTGGTAATTCAGACTGCAGTGCGTGAGTCTTTTCCCCTCCGCCCAGTCCGAGATAGCTGTTTTAGTCGCACTTGCGGAGACCCCAAAGTATGGTTCTGGTCCTATGAACACAGATTCGGTTCCCTGTTTAACAAGCATGTCAGTTTTCTCTTTGCCCTCCACCCCATGTTGTAAGCACCCAGGCATTCTAGGGATTCAATACAGCTCCATACAAGCTTGGTATTTATCTTGCTGGAGCTCAGTGCTTCAAGAGCAGCCTGACTGTCTGATATAATACTGATGTTTTTGTTTACACTCACAGGCACACAATCATGGACGTATAAAACGAAGACACACAATTCACCACCTGAAAGATTGTAGCATACTGACTGAGATTGGCTAATGAGATTTCCGTCTTCGGTTTTATACTGAACACGCTGGCTTGACTGGCTCCAACTCCAAGCGGGGTTTTCGAACCATCTGTGTACATTACGTGTTCGGTCTCTGGGAATTGGATTGATTCTCGATCTTTCCCACTCGCCCCTCTTCGGAAAGAGGACTTATTTACGTGTGTCTGAGTCGCCAACATGCCTGGGGAACCATTCCTAGAGTGAGGTGATATTTTATTTCCCGCAGTATCCCAGAGTGGTCCAGCAGTCGCCCTCCTCTGATTTGATTTCAGAATGACAGGAATCTATAAGAAACCGTTCTGGATTACCTCTCCAAGGCAATGTGGAGGGGAGTGAGCTTCATCAGGAGGTTTTCCATAGCAGATCGCAGCCGTTGGAGTGGCGAGGCGTGTCATAGCAGCTGAAGACAAGCGAGCTTTGCCCTGGCTGTCCCTTGCAGACCTTTAGTACACCAGGTTACCGAGCCATACGTGACTATTGGATTCACCATTGTCTGGCAAATCCAGCAAATCTGTTTGGAGTTCATTCCCCAAGATTTGTCGCATACCCTTCTGAGATTCCAGAGGGAAAATCTGGCATTGTTGATATAGTTTTGCCATGTGGTCGTTCCAGGAGTCATTCATCTAGGTTGACACCTAGATATTTCACCTCCGCCGCAAACGGAATGCTCCATATAGGACAGGCTGACGAAGCTTATCTAGCTTTAGTCTTTTGGTAAAAGGAATGATTAAAGTTTTCCGGCGTTCAGTGCTCTCTCTCTCGCATATCTGTACACAGTATTGAAGACTTCTTGTAGGCCGTTTGAGACCGTCGCTTCAAATGTTTCTCTTTCTATTAGGACTAAATCATATGCATAGCATTGGAACCCCTTGCATGGAAAGGTCGTTCAGCAGAGGGTCAAAAGTTGTAGGTATTTAATCTATCTATAGTTGTTTGTTGTATTCGCCTGTTGTTGAAATCGACATAATTTTAATTATAGGGGTCTTTCTGAGGATATCAATGTGATATCTATGAATATGTATGTCACTGACTTATCAAGATAATTTCATGACAATGTGAACGATTATAAAGAAATCAGATCTTAGTCAGTGTTTTAGAATGCATACTTATATATTATTGACTTATATAAGGATGAATGATGAATGTTTGCAGGTAAAAGTTTATTTGTTTTATTGTCTTGTTTTATGAAAGTTGTTAGAGAACATATAGAATTTTTAATCTGAAACTGAATCATTCCTATTAATTAAAGATTTTTATATTTCTCAACTATAGACGACTTCAATTTGTGAATTCCAATTTTAATGATCGATCTATAATAGTCATGTCATTTTTCAAGAAATGTTACATATACCTACCTACCTATACCATCTAGCTGCATCTGCCCATTTGCTAACCTAAAATCGTGTGCCGTATATTAAACAGGCAATTTTCTGGTGACGCTAGAGGCACCAGGAACAGATGTATAGGTAAACATCGGTTTCATTTCAAAGTTGTTGTATTTTTTTTTCCTTTTGTCTATTCGATCCTGAAGATAATTCATCTTGAGATCGTGCACCTGTAGAGCGTGCATATTGGCCCATCAGTTATAAAGTAGCTGCGGGCTACCATATAATATGTATACAACAACTGCCCAAAATATTCAAACATCTTCCATTAGAGGACTATACAGGGTGTAATTTAATTGAGGGCTGCAAATATATAGGATATTGTTCCTCAGAAGAGAAGTGCATATGAACATATGCCATAAACTCTTAACTTTCGAACTATATAGGGTGTCAAAATTGTATTTTCTCTTTCTTGATTAAATAAACTTTCACGATGTAAAAAACTGTCACGTTTATGAATACTTGTCAAAATATGAACGCAATAATCGATCAAATGTCATTATTTTGAAAACGAAATAGGGCACTAACCTATTAGTTCAGAATAATATCGTTATACCACAAATAATGCATGAAAAAAGTTTTTTATTTTTTTACGTGAAAATGGTTTGTCGGTCGGAAAAAAATCAGGAGGTTAAATTGTTACAAAATAAATGATGATTTCAAAAAAGAGTTTTATTCTCGGAAAAATCAAGGGCGTACAACATGTTTTTTTCAAAATCTCCAGTATACATCCCAACGGACGCCACTGGTAAAAATATTAAAGAAAACTCCTGCACCAAGAAATGCCTATTTGTTCTAATAGTAGGTAGGTACATTTCTAATTTTCGACAAAAACAATAGGGATTCCCTTTAGTGCCTCTCAAAAAAAAATTTAGGAAAAAATACTTAGGAATATGCACAACTAGAATATTGAAGACTCGATTGGGGATATACAGGATGGCCTATTAGAAGTATTTGGAGAACGAAAAGACAGTACTTTCTGAAAATAGGGATGCTTTGATAATTGAACATTTTCTATCCGTCTAAAATATTTTCATCGATACGGTGTTGCCACTTATTCTATCAGAAGCAACTAGCAACTTTGTTATTTCAAATGGAACACCCTGTATTTTATTGCATTTTCAGATACTTCCTGAAGAGCTGATTCCATCAATGTATGAAACTCGGGGTATAGCAGGAATGATTACAGAGATATGGAGTGTTCAAAATCGAAATTTTTCAATTTTAGGATTTTTTTTGTGTCGAAACTATTCATTATCGATCAAAACGGCTTATACATGTCCCTATTTCAACTTTTTCACTATCTACTGGAATTCAACAGGAAAAAATAGAAGGTGCTTCAAGATTCAGAATTCTGATCACCCTGTATCTGTTCCAATCAAATGTCAGTAGATAGTGAATTGAAAGTTAAGATAGGGACATGTAAGCCGTTTTGATCGATAATGAATAGTTTCGACACAAAAAAATCCTAAAATTGAAAAATCTCGATTTTATTTTTGAACACCCTATATTTCTGTAATTCCTCCTGGACCCCAAGTGTGATACATTGATGAAATCAGCTCTTCAGGAAGAATCTAAAAATGTAATAAAATACAGGGTACTGATGCATTTGAAATATAACGAAGTTGCTAGTTGTTTCTGATAAAAGTGGCAACACTGTATCGATAAAAATATTTTAGACGGATATAGAGTATGTTCAATTATCAGAGCATCCCAATTTTCAGAATGTTCTGTCTTTTCGTTCTCCAAATACACTTCTAATAGACCATCCACCGTGGATCACTCTGTATATGGAATGCATTTTTTTAATCTAGCCTATCCTCATCATACATCTATACCTATGTTGGTACGCCACTGCAGGTAGATGTTCTACAATAGTTCCACACACTATATGCGAAGTGATTTCAATATACAGGGTGCGCCTGAAACGATGCGAAAAAATTCTTCATTTCTGAAAGTATATTTAACCATTGGCGTAGTTTCAGGGTAAGTACATTCCTCCACCTTCAATTTCAAAAATGCTTCCTACAACGCTATTTAATTCACCTGTATCACTTTTTTTTTTCAAATTGGGTCTGAATTATTGAACAATATTATCCACGTTTTAGTAAGTGCGTTTATATTTTGATGGGTTTATATATTAACGGCAACAAAAAGTTCCTGATGATTGATTATATAATGCCAAACGTACAAAAATTGATTGTGGAATGATTCCCGAAATATATGGTCAGCGGCGTGACTAGTTTTTTTGTCAGCGGCGTAAATAGAATTTTTATCCCCAACGCAAAATACACGAGGAGGCCCCATCTCTTTCAGTAAAAAATCACGAATAGTAAATATGAATGAAACAACGAGCTGAACAAACGTATTTTTTTCATTTATTCCATTTTGTACATAGATTGACAAACTATTTCTTTCCTGAAAAAAAAACAAATCTTCAGAATATCTTCAAATCTCCTGATTTAAAAATAGAACCCAAATTTTTTTGTCATTACAGAAAAACAAAACTTGAAATAACTTAATCCTTGAAGTTAATTCATCTAAACTTCTTTTGTTGTTTTTTAATTTGATGAGTGGGCCCTCCAAGCAACGCATTGCGCTTAGTACTTGTCTTATGCTAGTTACGCCACTGTTTATTGTACAGAGTGTTATGTTTATATTATAGATCCGTGAATCTGAAGAAAAATACACGAAAAAAAATAATCTGATTATGTAGATAGAACTGTAACACTATAGTCCTGAATAATAAAATGCACTTAATAAAGCCTATAATAAAGCAATTCGAACCGACAGACGAACTATCTCTCTTTGTTCAAATAATGTCGAAACATCGAAATAAAAGACAATGGGAATATATAGTTAGGTAAATGTGTTGTAAAAGTACTCACCAGTTTGTTTCATTTTGAGGCGTTGCTCCAGACCGTCACTCATCATCCCGAGAACGATCTGCCAGATAACTCGATCACAAGTCTCCAAAAAAATTCAGCAATCCACTTTTTCCTCTCTCAAAAAAAAACGTACTCCTACGTCAGTCGACCTAGCTTCGCCACAAACGACTGACAGCCCTGCCACCCACCTAACTTGACTGCTATGCTGGTAGCCGGGGCCGTATCGATGATACGCCCCTTTAAGCCGCTCCTATTGGTCCGAATTTCGGTCGGATCACTCTCAAAAGGAAGGTCTCGCTTTGACGGCGAACAAACTCACTGACTCCGATAACTAGATCACGTTTGCTATTGCGAGATTGTTTTCCAAAGCCGGCGGGCTATAAAACTGCGATGCGATTCACTAGGTACAGGGTTATTCTGTTATCCACACAAAAATCGGAATCACATCCTCCCGGAATCTGTTCAACCATAATTGGAGGTGTTTGTCACCAAAATGTCCAATTTTGTTTGAATTGAGCCAGGTGCGCCTAACCACCTGCTCCAAAAGATGAAGATGGACCATGTAACAAGTATTTCGGAAGCCATTGAATATTCCAGGCAATGAAAACTCACTGACTCCGCTAACTAGATCACGTTTGCTATTGCGAGATTGTTTTCGCAAGCTGGCGGGATATAAAACTGCGAAGCAATTTACCAGCTACCAGGGTTATTCTGTTATCCACTTTCTAAGATAGAAACAAACCGGAATCACATCATCCCGAAATCTATGCATCTATAATCGCAGGTATTTTGTCTCCTGAATGTCCGAGTTTGTTTGAATTGAGCCAGGTATGCGCCTAACCACGTGCTCCAGAACCGAAAATTTAACTGGAATTGGCGTTTAGAAACCTCGTACCAAGTACCTACTTCGGAAGCCTTACCAAATTCTCATCAAATTCTATGCAAAAGTTCACGTATAAGTGGAATGTCTACAGCTCAATCTAGAAAAAGGCTATTGAAGCCATCAAAGCCATAAAAGCGCTGGGCTCTATGGTTATCAGCTCTTAAATGGCCGGGAAAACCTGAACGAGCTATAGCCAACAGAAATATATACATTCACCCTTCTATCGGTTCCGGAACATTCCGGAGTAGAAGAAAACGAAGTCGCGGACAAATTGCTAGAAAAAGAGCTCAAACACCCTTTGCCGGGCCAAAACCCTTCTGCGGGATCAGCAAGGGTACTGTATCAGGAGAAATCAGAAAAGAAGACGCCAAACAGAGATTAAACATCTGGGAACTGACGGAAGAGAAAGAGAGAGAAGAAAAGAAATCTTAGGAAGCTCAGATTAGAAGAGAAAGATGAATGCTGGTGTTGTTTCTAACGAAAAGCAGGGATCAAAAGAGATATTTTAAGTTGCAATATGGCAGGTAAGGTTAGGTTGATGGGGTAAGATAGAAATCGGTATGTTCTGAATTGAGAAAACCAAATATGTTGAAGCTTAGTCTCTCTAAACAAGAGCATGAACAAAATATATGTTCTGCCGTTTTGTCTTTTTACACAGCAGTAATGACAGCCTGTTGTTGAAAGGTTCGGTTCAGACCCATCCTTCCTAGAGGTGATATCTTATAGGACATCCTCCTGTAAGCAGTGCAGAATTCGCAGGTTATTCCTGCTCCAATCTATACGATCTGCCTGGTTATACAGTCTGTCCAAGATAAGGTTGCACAGCATGGGGATCTCGGAAACGGTAGGAGATACGAAGTCGGTTAAATGGGGAAAAAGTTGCGCATTCGGAGGCTCATACCAACATCCTTCGAAAATTTTCAATTTTTTTTTTAGTTTTTCAGTTATATCGAAAAAAGTGAATTTTTAGAATCTCTATTTTATTTTTTTTTCTCCGTTATTATTAGAGATACAGGAAAACTGAAAATACTTTTTCATTGTAACATTTGATGACGTTTAACGTGGTGATACCGATTTTTCTATGCGACGTTTCGTATTCGTAGAACCATCATCAACTTTTGTTTTTTAAATACGGCCCTGATAATTCTTTCACAGATTCTGAAAGCTTTTTTTATTCTGAATTCAACCATGTATTATACAAGGTGGTTTGAATGTGTTTCGATTTATTTTTAGCCATCATCAATGTTTTTTTCGAAATTCCAAAGAAAAAATGCCATCAGTTCCACTTATTTTGAAGGAAAATTAGCCAACAAACAAATACCTCATCAACTAGTTCCGATTGATAGACTTATAGGAATAATTAGTTCGAAAAATTTAATTATGACAAGCTCTTTCGGATTAAAATATGAATACAATTCATAAACAATTCGAAGCGCTGCATCGAATAATTTAGTGGATTTTTTTTTCACTTTTCAGTATTGAATAACTAGTCCATCAATGTTTGACACTGAATAATCAGAAATAAGTGAAACTGATGGCATTTTTCCTTTGGAATTTCGAAAAAAACATTGATGATGGCTAAAAATAGTTCGAAACATACATGGTTGAATTCAGAATGAAAAAAGCTTTCAGAATCTGTGAAAGAATTATCAAGGCCGTATTTAAAAAACAAAAGTTGATGATGGTTCTACGAATACGAAACGTCGCATAGAAAAACCGTTATCACCACGTTAAGCGTCATCAAAAGCTTCTATGAGAAAGTATTTTCAGTTTTCCTGTATCTCTAATAATAACGGAGAAAAAAAATAAAATAGAGATTCCAAAAATTCACTTTTTTCGTTATAACTGAAAAACTAAAAAAAAATTTCAAAAAATTTTCGAAGGCTGTTGGTATGAGCCTCCGAATGCACAACTTTTTTCCCATTTAACCGACTTTGTATCTCCTACCGTTTCCGAGATCCCCATGCTGTGCAACCTTATCTTGGACAGACTTGGTAATTCAGAGCAGTAGCAGTGCGGGTCAATTGCACCTTGGTTAGAGAGGTATTTCAAATCTCAATACAACGGTCTATTTTTTTTTTATCGAATCCGAAAGCATTGCCATCCATAATATGGCAGAAAGTTTATACAACTAGACCAATCGAACTACCTTTTTATTCATCATCTGATTTCGACCAATATATAAAACTCTGTAATACCCTTGTAATACTTCTAAACCACAACTGGGTACTCAATTCATTTGGTGGTGAAAATTCAAAGAATCAGAGCAGCTGTGGTGAACACGTAATAAGTATAAGTATTACCAAATTTCATGCGGGAAGAAAAGTGTTGTTGCCTTTCTTGATGATTGAAATTGTTCAACTTTGTATGCCTATATGAAACAATAATATAGAGGCAGAATGATTCCAAGTTGCACTCAGGGGCGTATGCAAGAGGGTAATGCTGAGTGAAAAAAATCATTCTGAATTATAGGTACCTACTTTAAATGAAAAAAAAAAAAAAATTATCGAATCAAAAAAATTGAAGAAACTGCCTCTAAATTTGCTCGATTTGCAATCATGAGACTGAAAGCGCAAAAAATGATTAAGGTAGGTAAATATAACCGTACTTAGGTGATGAGTTTATTGATAAGCTCTGATGGAAGAGGTGAATTCCGCTAACGTTCGAAGAAACCCTTTCAGATAAGAAACAGTTTCAACAACAGTAACCTTCCATCGTTTATTTGGAATATTTTCCGTAGGGCATTAGCACTTTATCTGGTCAAACCGTGCGCTCGACCTTGTCTGCGATAATAATACTTTCTTCTCGTTTTTATGGCTTAACTACTTTTACTGCTCCCTCAGATTACTTTTACTTCCCTTGAAACGGTTTATGGCACCCATCCACGCGACAACCATCTCGAACCGTAACATTTTCTGTTGTAAATATGGCCATTGTCGGATTGTGCTCCGAAATGTAAACATATAAACAAAATTAGGCACAATATACACAAAGGACTGGAACTGTCCCTTTTCAGTCCAGTCGCGTACTTATTCAAGGTCGAAAATAACTCAACTTCGTTTGCATCAGATACCGAATGGTATTCGAACATTTTCAAGGAAGTGGAGAGCTGAAATTTATTGCATGATTTTCACAAATTGAACATGATTTTCACGAATTGAACTGAATACATATAGGTATTTTTGTAACCATGTCTCCACCAAAGCAATACAGACCAACATAGTTCAACTTTGTTGGAGATACAAAATGTCTAGAACAACTTTCACTAACAAAGGGTCAGCACAAAGACAACAATGTTGCATGATGTTGATTTAGATTTTTTTCGCGTACCTACTTATTCAAGGTCGAAAATAACTCAACTTCGTTTGCATCAGATACCGAATGGTATTCGAACATTTTCAAGGAAGTGGAGAGCTGAAATTTATTGCATGATTTTCACAAATTGAACATGATTTTCACAAATTAAAATGAAATACATAGGTATTTTTTTAACCATGTCTCCGCCAAAGCAACACAGACCAACATAGTTCAACTTTGTTGGAGATACAAAATGTCTAGAACAACGTTCACTAACAAAGGGTCAGCACAAAGACAACAATGTTGCATGATGTTGATTTAGATTTTTTTCGCGTACCTACTTATTCAAGGTCGAAAATAACTCAACTTCGTTTGCATCAGATACCGAATGGTATTCGAACATTTTCAAGGAAGTGGAGAGCTGAAATTTATTGCATGATTTTCACAAATTGAACATGATTTTCACAAATTAAAATGAAATACATAGGTATTTTTTTAACCATGTCTCCGCCAAAGCAACACAGACCAACATAGTTCAACTTTGTTGTTCAACTTTGTTGGAGATACAAAATGTCTAGAACAACGTTCACTAACAAAGGGTCAGCACAAAGACAACAATGTTGCATGATGTTGATTTAGATTTTTTTAAACATGCAACCCCAATAAAACCGTGTATACCTACACCAGTGCAACACAACACAGTCAGCCATGTTGTACAACGAAGATGACGTGACTGTTGCGGCCGCAGATGGTTTTGTTATTTTTAATAATCATAATAAAAAAACGAAAAACCACGCGTAAGTACTGGGTTCGCCCAATTTACAAAAAAAAATGAATTATTGTTTAAAGATTTGCTGGAAGACGAT